GACCACTATCTACCAATCAGTTGGGGCCCACTGACCTAAAAGGAAGAGGGTGAAGGTGAGAAGAACAGCATCCTAGGCCTTCTCATATAATTTCATGCATCAAATGTCTTTGTAACAACACCCTAAGGAAATGCACGTGGTTTAGAATGGGCTGGAGCTCTTGCTGGTCAGTCTGTTCAAGATCCCACAACAGGCCCCACTACCACCGTCTCGGGCTCAGCAGTGTAGACCTGCTTCTGTATCACTCTCCTCTTCCGCATCATATTCATGGGCAGAGGCAAAGGAGACCTCTGGGCCACCTTTCATCCAAACTCTGGTCAAGGCCAGGTGCCAGTTTCTGTAAGCTCAAAAAGGACGGTGGCCATGGCTGTGGACCTGAGCTCATTATGCCTAAAAATGTGTAAGATGGGCAAAGAGGAAAGTGATTTTTCAGCCAGCATACACCTATATTGTTTTAAAATTCTTTTCAAAAAAGGTGAATTTGCTTATGTAATCCGTTTCAGACAGGAATTAGGGGACAGGGTTTCTTCCCTTTTACTACTAATTCTGAGCCTAGTTCACAAAACTGTGTTCACTTTACCCTTGGAAATGCCCATCTCTTTCCAGAGCTTTGCTGACCAGCTCTATGTGGTATGCTGCCCCACCCCACCACCACCCCTGCTCTGGCTCTGTCCATCCCCGACTGCCCCTTTGTGCAACATTTTCTTAGAGTACAGGAAGAAGGACCCTAAAACTAAATGGTAAGGGGAAAGATTGTGTTTGAATATGAAAATTTTAACAGTGTTGGATAAAAAAACTATATTTTGCAGTGGAGACATTGAATAGACACAGAACATATAAGCATCTGGCCTGAGTAAATGCAAACAGAGAAGAGACAATCAAAGACTAGCAACTGCTCCACACCGGACAAGGAGGAGCAAGCTGCCGGTTCAGAACACAGTCGGGCCTAGTCAAAGGTGGTTTCCAGGAGATCATGGAAAGATCAAAACAAAATGTCACATAGAAGGCCAGGTAAGTGCCCGGGGAGCTTGGGAAGCTACCACAAAGCGTAGGACTATGTGCATGTGGTTTGCCCCCTCCATGTGTGGTACAAGCTTGTGTGTGTGTGTGTGTGTTGTGTGTGTGTGTCTTACATCTACTCTATCTTTTTATCCATCACCATTGCTTCACTATATATGTGACCTTTTTCTTACATACATTTAAAAAAAAAAACAAAAGCCTACCAATTAAAAGAATAGAAAGACCTAAAATGTATGATGTCTAATTTCCTGGAAAAAAAAAAAAAAGACCTGTTAAAAGATATTCTAAAATACCTTAAAAAAGATATTCTGTCCTCTCCTCCAAGTGATGAGCAACACTGTGTGCCTGCTCATGCACTGACTGGAAGGAGAATTTACAGACTATGACATTAACTCGGAGCAAAGCCCAAAGGTTGAACACTTGGATTGTCAGACTGAGGAGGCCAAGTTCGGAGGCTACAGCACCTGTAGTGTTATGTGTCTACCTACTGAGTGTATTCATTTTACTCATTTTCCTGAACCAGGAAAGAACAAATGAATACATGGACTGTGAGGGGCCAGTACAAACTTTACAGCCAGGAAAGTTCAATTCATTCTAGCCAAAAAAAAAAAAAAAAAAAAAAAAAAAAAAAGAC